CGAGCGTGTCCAGAAGAGGGCAACCAGGATGGTGAGAGGGATGGAATCCGAGTCTTATGAGGAAAGGCTGAAAGAGTTGGGTTTGTTTAGCCTGGGAAAGAGAAGCCTTAGAGGGAACATGATTGCAGTCTTCAAGTATTTGAAGGGCTGTCATGTAGAAGATGGAGCAGATCTATTCTCTCTTGCTCCGGATTGAAAGACTAGATCTAATAGGTGGAAATTACAAGGGAGTCGCTACCGGCTAAATATCAGGAGAAACTTCCTAACTGTAAGAGTGGCTGAGCAGTGGAACAGACTGCCTCGGGAGGTGGTGGAGGCTCCTTTGCTGGACGTTTTCAAGCGGTGGCTGGACGACCATCTTTCAGGTATATTGTAGGGCTATCATTCGGCTATGCTCCCGCAGACTAGATGACCTGCAAGGTCCCTTCCAACTCTAACATTCTACGATTCTAAGAACATTCCATAACAACAATCATGGTCACGACCATTTCACGAATTGTGTTTTTCTCCTTCACAGCAGCTTGCCGGCCTTCGGCGTAGCCGAACCCCCTGTCAACACCACAACTGGCCACCAGAATATATCGGCGCCAGCACCTCCCCTCAGCACCGGACAGTTCTTAGAGGCCCTCTCTCAGTTTGTCAATCGGGTGTTGTGGCCGTTTGGGAAGCTGCCTCCCGCCGCCAGGTCGCGCCTCCAGTTGGACTTTGACACGGTGGAGGCCCTCCCACACTGGTCCTTCAACCTGTCGGAAGAGGTGGCCTTGGAGTGGCTGGTCAAGTCCGAGGACCACTTGGTGGTCCTCTTCCCCGAGGACAGCCAGGCCTTGATGGAGCAAGACCTGGGCCAGCGGTACCTGGAGGGGAGGTTGCTATGGCAACTGCTGGAGAAACTGAGCTCCGTCATCCGGGAGCTGAAGGGCATCCCGTCCTTCCAAACAAACGACGGCCTCTTCCATCATCTCCTCGCGTCCTGCTACTACCCTTCCGGGTCCACCTCAGGGACGGCCGGGGGCGACTCCAGGGCGACAGGCCCACAGGAGGGAACGAGTCGCCTGAGGAAGCTCCACAGCCTCTTGCTGCTGAAGGCCCTGCAGGCCGTGCGGGGGCACTGGTGGGAGTCGAGGAAGGCGCCGCGGGCAAACCGCAGCACCCAGCCGCAGGAGGACTACTGTCAACTGAGAGAGCTCAGGATAGACCTGGTCTCCATGGGCTACATCATTCTGCCCGAATGGTACCACGCCAACAACTGCGTCGGGCCCTGCCGAAGCCCCCTGTCCACCCGTATCACCGACTACTACAGCCACACTCTCTTCCTGCTGCGCATGCACGAACAGGGCCTCCCGCTTCAGCGCGCCCCTTTCTGCGTCCCCGTGAAATACTCCCAAAGCGTCATTTTGACCTTCACTAACGACCAAGGGCTGAAAGTTAAGATGTACCCCGATATGGTGGCTGAGGCATGTGGCTGTCGGTGAAGAGGGGACCTTACCCAGCCCTCCCCGGCTTTCCGGGGAAGCATGCTTCACTCAGGGCTGCTGGTATTGTCTATTATTATTCCCCCCCCCCCCCCCAATCCCCAGCACCGGGGCTGTGTATTCTGTGCTAAGAGAAAAATTAGAGAAAAGGGGAAACGAAATACTGCTTCCTGCATAAATGTGAACTCGTCTGCCTAATTTTTTGTTTTGGTATTTTCTTGTTTTTGCTGTTTTGCTAGATTGTGCAAAGGGATACACAGGGCTATTTTTGGGCAGGAACGCACAGGAACGGAGTTCCGGCTGGCTCCCAAGTTGGCCACGCCCAGCAGGAACGCATTAGCATAATAGGCCACACCTAACAGCAGAAACTCATTAGGGTTGGCTATATTAGGGGTGTGTGGCCTAACATGCAAAGGAGTTCCTGCTACAAAGAAGCCCTGGGTTTGGACAACAAGCAAGGTAAACAGAATAAGAAGCAAAAGGTGGGTGTGGCTGGGTGAGCACACTTCTGGTAACGTGGGGGTGCAGCCTAATATGCCAATGAGCTGTGCTGTCAGGGGTGTGGCCCAATATGCTAATGAGTTTCTGCTGTTTGGGTGTGGCCTATTATGCTAATGAGTTCCTGCTGGGCTTTTTCTACAAAAAAAAGCCCTGGGGATACAGAAATACTCAAGGCACCAGGTTTGCCAGCCTCCAGGTGTTTCCTGGAGAGCTCCAGGAATCACAACTGGTCTCCAGACTGGAGAGATCAGTTCTCCTGGAGGAAAATAGCTGCTTTGGGAAGTGGACTGTATGGGCCTTATCGTGGCCGCTGACGGTCCCTGCCTTTTCCAAGCCCTGACCTTCCAACGCTCCACCCTCGAGATCTCCAGGAATTCCCCAAATAAGAGCGGCAAACCTTCAAGGATGCTGAAGCCGTGCACCTCCCCCCTCCGCTAGTGCTCAAAGTAAGGGTGAAAGTTAAGAGTGGGGATCCTTAATGAAATCCAAGCATCACTACCTGATTCTCCACAGAGAGGCCGGGTTTTGTTCTCCCGTATTGGTCCCTGGCCCTAAAGACATCCAGCTGTCCTCGACCAAGGCCAGGGCCTTTTCGGTTCTGGCCCCAGCCTTGTGGAACTCTCTGCCAAAGACCACCAGGGCCCTGCAGGACTTACTGAAGTTCCGCAGGGCCTGTAAGGCAAGAGACATTCTACCAGCCTTTGGTTGAGGACAGTGACGGTTCCATCGTAGCCGGCACCCTCCTCTTCTCCTCCTCCTCCTTTTTCCTCCATCCTCGCTTCGGCCCTCTTCTCACCTGCCCGCAAGTCAGCGACGCAGTCCGGAACAGGGTAGCGAAGAAACTGTCAGATGCCATCTGATATAAAGTAGTCATCCTTTTTCGGTTTGGGTTCTTAACTTGTTTTAAATTAATTTATTTATTATTCACATTTATTTATCATTTATGGTTTTTAATGGTTGTACGCCGCCTAGAGCCTTACATTGTAGGGGATAAGCGATTTATAAGGAGCTGCAGTGGCTCAAGTGGTTAAGACGCTGAACTGCAGGCTGTGGAAGGTCAGTAGTTCAGCAGTTCGAGACCCGAGTGTGCCGCATGACGGAGTGAGCCCCCCTCTCTGACCCCAGCTCCTGCCAACCTAGCAGTTCGAAAGCAAGAAATTGCAAGTAGATAAATAGGTACCACTTCGGTGGGAAGGTAACAGCATTCTGTGCGCCTCGGTGTTTAGTCATGCCGGCCACATGACCACGGAAACGTTTTTGGACAGCGCTGGCTCTTCGGCTTGAAAACAGAGATGAGCACCGCAGCCCTAGAGTCGGACTCGACTGGCTTTCGAGCAAGGGAAACCTCTACCTTTACCTAAGCGATTTATAAATGGAATGAATAATAATAAAAATTACAATGATTAGAGGAGCCATCACAAATGATAGGGGTTGGGGGGGCGGGTGCCTGGACCTCTGACATTTAACACCCCTCAAAATCTGGAATCATGTTACTGGGTTGTGAGGAGGGTTGCCAGCGCCAGGTTGGGAAATACCTGGAGATTTAGTGGGAGGAGCCTGGGGAGGGCGGGGTTGGAAGAGGGGAGGGGCTTCAACGGGGCATCATGCCTGGAGATTGGTTGTAATCCCGGGAGACCTCCAGCCGCCACCTGGAGGTTGGCAGCCAACATGCGAGATCACGGGAAGAGGTGGAACTCCAAAAACAACATCCGTGATAAAAAAATAACAAAGAGTCAATAAAGATAAGCTGCAAAAACATTTACTGAAGTATTTCTGTAGCTCAGTAAGGAATATCCTTCAGTCATCGCTCACACGCCGACGAATACTGCGCAATGTGAACATTCGTTCCGCAATATAGACTTTATCCGAGCGTGTAGCAATCCCAATTCTTATCAAATACTACTTACCAACTCTTGCTGGAAACATTCCATGTTGACTAATACAGAAACACGTCAGTAAATGTTTTCGCAACTTATCTTTACTGACGCTTCATTATTTTTATCACGGATGCTGTTTTTGGAGTTCCACCACCTGGAGGTTGGCAGTGCTCGTTCTGAGAGTTCTGTGGGTGTTCATCGACGTGCTTCCAAGCGTCTCTTCGCAGCCATGAGGCCCGCTCCCTTGATTTTTCTACAGCCAAGACTTTCAGAAAGATGATTCTGTTCCTGAGGATGACACACACACAAACACACACACAGAGGCCTTGTTTTTCCAGCACCCGGCAGATCCGAAGTTAAGCAAACAAATGGAGCTTTCAAAAGCATTTTTGAAATTTCTGTTTAATATACTGTTAAGAGAAACAGATTCAAGCCACTGTTGGCAGGCAGGGAGTTCTTTCAGCAGAAATCCGCGTCTGGGTGGCTGTGACATCTCTGCTCACGAAACCAAACTTTTGTGCCATTCCTGTATCTCGCGCTCTTAGCTACGGGATGGCCACATGACTGACCCTTCCCACCCTGGGTTGATCCTACGGAAAACAGAGTCTGTCTTTTTTGGACGTCTTGGTTTTCCTCTTGTATGGTTCTGGAGTGAACCCCCCCCCCCCCCCCCGCCACTTTATGGTGGAGGAGCGGAGAGGCTCTGTGGCTTCAAAATATTTTGTGAAATCCAATTAAGAGTCTGAACAGACAAACCCCGGGAAGTAGAAGAGGAGACTGGATATATACCCTGCGCTTCACTACCCGAAGGAATCTCAGAGCGGCTTACAATCTCCTTTCCCTTCCCCTCCCCCCAACAGACACCCTGTGAGGTAGGCGGGGCTGAGAGAGCTCTTTTGCTGACTGCCCTTGAGAGAACAGCTCTGAGAGAACTTGTGACTGACCCAGGGTCACACCAGCAGCTGCATGTTGAGGAGGAGTGGGGAATCAAACCCGGTTCTCCCAGATTAGAGTCCGCGCTCCAGACCACTTCACCAAACTGGCTAGATCTTCAAAAAGTTTTTTTAAAATCTACCCTCTGCACACTCCTATGACTAGAAGGGTGCCCGTCCTTTTCCTGGAGGAGTGGCTTTGATAGGCACAAAACCATGCGGGGGTGAAAAGGATGACACACTCCCTTTCCCTGTCTGAAATGAATGTTTTAAAATTTTGGTGGGAGAGCTGGAATGCTCCCTCTAAACCGTGGAGTCTTGTGAGCAAAAATTCCACTTTGTGAGCTACTGGCATTAAAGTTGTGAACGGGGGATTTGGCTGCTGCATCAATTAGTTTGCTCTGGAGCCCTCCTCCCTGAGCTAAGACAAAAATGTGTGAGCCGGAGGCTAAAATACTGGGAGCAGGCATAATCTTCGTGGGGGCGGCGGGGCGGCAGCCCCCGCCGAAATTTTCAGGAAGGTGCTCAGCCTCCCCCGGGGGCCACCCTTGCCCCTCGCAAAGCCACGCCTGCCTCTGGCCCAGCCCCAGCCCCCCCCCCCCGGGAAATTGGAAAGTCTACACCCTTGCGGAGGGAACACTGGCAGAGCTGTAGGGCAGAGGGCCTTCCCCCAACATTTGACCCTGTGGGCACCTTTGAAATTCTGACCCAGGGTGGTGGGCCGGGCGCAACCGCAAAATGGCTGCCGTGAGAGGTGGGGCCAACCATAAAATAACCACCATGTGAGGTGAAGCCAACTACAAAATGCCCACCATGGGAGGTGGAGCCAGTCACAAAATGGCTACCATGAGAAGTCTAGTCACGCACCGAGACACCCCAAGTGCAAGGGACCAGAAGAGGGAATTTTTAAAAATGCAGTGGGAAAGCAGAGTGAGAGAATAAAACCAACACTCACGGCTATTTTTGGGCAGGAACGCACAGGAACGGAGGTCCGGCTGGCTCCCAAGTTGGCCACGCCCAGCAGGAACTCATTAGCATAATAGGCCACACCCAACAGCAGAAACTCATTAGGATTGGCTACAATTAGGGGTGTGTGGCCTAACATGCAAAGGAGTTCCTGCTCAAAAAAAAAAAGCCCTGGGTTTTGACCACAAACAAGGTCAACAGAATAAGAAGCAAAAGGTGGGTGTGGCTGGATGACCACACTTCTGGTAACATGGGGGTGTGGCCTAATAGGCTTATGAGTTCCTGCTGTTGGGTGTGGCCTATTATGCTAATGAGTTCCTGCTGGGCTTTTTCTACCAAAAAAGCCCTGCCAACACTGTTGGGGTAGCGACTGCTTGGTTTGTCAGGTCCCCCCTGGCCACCAGAAGGGAATTTGCGGGGAGGTAGAGTTGCCAGATCCAGGCTGGGAAACTCCTGGAGATGTGGAGATGGAGTCTGGGGAGGACAAGGACCTCAGTGGGGTACAGGGCCACAGAGTCTGCCCTCCAAAGCAGCCATTTTCTACAGGGGAAAATGTCGTCTGGAGATGAGCTGTAATTCCGGGGGGTCTCCAGGCCCCACCTAAAGGTTGGCATCCCTAGCTACTACTGAAAGACTTTTAAAAAGATCCGCACAGCCAATCAGATCTCCGATGTCCAGTCAGAAGCCCTGCTCTCACCTGGCTCCACCCACTTTCTAAAAAAAC